GGGGGGGGGGGGGGGGGGGGGGAATGTTTATCACACATATTTCATAATGATAAAAAAAAAATGAATTCGATAAAGCTCGTTCAGATTCCCCCGGGGAGAGGGGGGGTGGGGATTGAAAAGGAAAAGGAAGAAAAAGAGTGGAGAGATGCCATGCCAATGATCTAAAGCATCAAGGAATACAGAAACATATAAGCCTAATATTTAATTAATCTGGTATAGCATACATAAGTAAAATTGATACAGTTACTTGGTATAAAAATTCCAAAATATTAAGTCGTTTTCCCATTATTTTATTGCAGAAACCAGCATTTTCAGAAAACAATCGAGGCAGCGATTCTGCAAGAAATCCCTTGCTCCAAATTCAAATTTAAATAAAAGTAGTGCCAGATTCATCAAACCCTTTCCTTGGCCAAATTGAGAAGTAGCTGTTCAATGGAAAATCGTACTGAAGTTTAAATATGCAGAGTTGCATTACTTGTAATCACTGACCAATAAATTTATGTACAAACATAAAGACATTTAGTAGAAAAGTCTAGTTTCTTGCCTGGATGGAGGATGAAGAAGTAGAATGACGCGCAACGGTTGGAGAGGCCGAGGGTGGACGGTGGCTACTTCTGCTGCGACGGTAGAGAGATTCTCCAGAAAGTGTGCCTGAAAGGCGGTCGAGACAGAGACTGGAAAGCTGAGTTGTCATCGGCGGAACTCTCAGTTCGCCAGACTCAGAAACTGAAAGGATATGTTATCTTCAAAGCGTGTCTAGCTAAAGCTTAATCCTCTGGACATAAATTATTAAAGTCAAAAGTTTTAATTTTAGCTATATATTCTGCTCATTAAAAAAATATTTAACGGAATTATATTATCACCACCAAATTTAATTATTGCACCACATTACAATCATACTACAATTAAAATATATTTTTAATAAATATACCACAACAAATTTACAATTATACTCTTAATTCAATAAAAACTAAAAAAAAAAAATACAGGTGTATTCATCTTCCTAATATACTTCTCTTTGTACCTTTCGCTTTTGACAAGTCAAAGAATTTTATATAAGTAATGTTATTCATAATCGCTCACTATAGTAGTTGCTCTACGTGGCATTCAACATGACGATTTCTGATTTGATGTATTAATGTGATAATTTTTTCTTGCCAGATATATTAAATCACTAACCACCACATACGTGTCACGTATGGCAATTATGGTAATGAATGGCTGCAAATAGTATTATTCGTTTTATATTCATCAATATTCCAACAATTCCTTGACATGGAAAAAATTCGCGTTAATACCTTGTTAACATTTTTTGAAGAATTCGAGTGAACTTTGCTCTAGAGGATAGCTGCCATGACAAATATACTCACAACACTGCATCGGACGATACAATTTTGAATTTCCACAGATTGTTGGACTGGAGAAACATAGTGATGGCAACGGGGGGTTACCCACCGTCCCATTTGGCCAAAATCCCACCCCGCCTTAGATGGGGTGGGGACGGGGCAACTTTTGGCCCTGTTTGTTATCCCGTTTAATTTTATTCATTTATTTTTTTACATTTTGAAAGTTTCGAATTATGTTATTATTAGATAATAAAATACAAATTCAAAATGAGTTTTTAAGAGGTGAATTGTCTAGAAATAAAATTATTTTTAATTTTTTTTTGCTCTCCATGGGACGGGTTTTGGGTGGGGTATACTCACCACGCCTTATCCCACCCTACCCCGCCAACCCGTTTGAGTTGGGGCAGGGTAAATTGCCATCCTAGAGAAACAGTTGTAATTAATTAATTAATCTTTTTTTTTACATAGCTTTAATTAACAATTAATTCGAGTTTTGTTGTGTTTCTCTTTTTCTTCAATACTTAGGGCCTGTTTGGAAGCGATTTTTCCTCCCAAAAAATTGATTTTTTGACCGTTATTTCACTATTTCAGCCGTCATATTTGACTTCTTCTCTCATATGTGGACCCCACTTTTCTCCTGATGATAAAAAAATCAATTCTCATTGTGGCAACTGATTTCTTTTTTATAAATCAAGGCATTATGTTGTATGGAAATCAGAAAGCACATCTACTAACACATTAACATATAATACCGGAATTGATAGTTTTCTTTCCCTCACAATCAACCCCAAACACCAGAGGTTATGAATTACAGAGTTTTGAAGCAAAAAAAGAACTAGTTTGGTTTGGCCGATCATTTGTTTTCAGTTCCATCGCTACACATGAAATGAAATCGTTTGATCTATCCATAAAATTCTCATTGAAACCCATTCATCAGAAGAACCGAAATACTAATTATATTATTTTATCTTAACACTTTAACATATCATGAACTAATGGTCAGCCCAATAAAATTTTCCAACAATATCGAATAATAAAACTAATAAAAAAATATTAAACAAGTTGATGAATTCATTTAATTATCGTATAATGGAGAAGAAAGAAAAAATTAGGATTTTGTTCATGGTGGAACAATAATTTATTTTGTTAAAAAGTATATTAAAACTCTAATTATGTAATTTTACTTAAGGCTACTTAAGTAAACAAGAAAAAACTTGTGGTGCACCTAATAAAATTTGTAGAATAATATAATTACCCAAACATTTATATAAAATTATTACTATTTCTCTTGTTATTACCCTTTATGAATTATTTTTAAATTTGCTAAATGAGGCTTACCAAAAAATAAAAGAGTATGGTTTCAAATAATTAACTAATTATTGATTAAATTTTAAAAAAAATTAAGAAGTTATTTTAAAAAGTAATTTATTCAAATATTTTAATATAAAATATATTCCAAAAGTTAATAAAATAAATTTCCTTCTTTTTATAATAACCTTAAATAATAGATGCTACATTTTAATAGCTATATAAGGTTATTCATACATATAGAAATGATCATCGGTGTTTAGCTTAGGTTAAGAATCGGTGACATGACATTAATTTATGCTGAGTTCTAATATTTAAATTAAATTTATTAATCATCAATTCATTTATGTATCATGTGATCGGTTTTCGTTAACATAACTTAAGCACCGATATTTAATAGATCGTTTTTCTTCATGAATAATTTTAGACACTTGAGTTGGGCTCTTGAAGCAGTTATAAGGTGCAATAGGACACGCTTTCACATGTTGATCCAAGTAGGGATAACTTATCTCCAAGTGATAGAGTCACATCGAAACTTCCACTCCACAAGAGTATTAGAAAAAGTATACCTAAATATCATTAAGGGATTGAACGACAAATTTTCCAGCATCTCCATTAGATTATGAAGAGTCTAAATTTGTTCATGAAGCTCTATCAGACTTCACAAAAGAAAATGAAAGATTGCAATTGAAGAAGACTTGGTTGATCTTCCGTTTGATCAAAAAGTTATTGGGAACAAATAGATTTTAAAGTTAAAGCGAAGGGCTTATGGATTTATAAAAGGAGGAAATTACACTGTTCCCGGTGTTTTAACTATACAGTGCAAAAATCTGATATGAAGTTTTGTTATTCACAAATCCGGGATGAATATGATAATTAAATATCTCCCCCAATTCCAACCTTAACCATTTCAATTCACACACACTCTCTCTCTCTCTCTCTCTCTCTCTCTCTCTTTGGTGGATAGACCCGGCAGTGCGACTGTGAGGACCTGACACGACGGTATGGTAAATTGTGGATTTGTGGTTTCGCTGCTCGTTTAGGGTTGGTCAGCTATGACACCTCCAACGTTGAGGCTTGGCATCGGAGCGGTCAAATGAAGTTGCGGCAAGATGGAGTTGCTTGAATCTGTACACATTGCACAACATCAATCTGTAGGTCAAATCCAGATCTATGTGTATAGAGAGGTGCGACGTGGTGGTGGTGGAGGCACTGTGTTGGTGTTGATGGGAGTGGTGTCGCATGGAGGCAGCTACGAGATTTGTGTTTATTCATGATAGTGTGTGGTAAATGGTAAATGACAGTGGGGTTGCGTGGTGGTGGTGGCGACATTTTCAGATCGGTCTGTCGCTACCGCGGGACGCTGCTGATGTGACGGTGAGGTGGTGATTCTGCAGGCAGTGGTGTGGCGCGAGGGTGATGGTATGGCGGTGATTTAAGATGTGGTGTACTAAAGACAGCGGTGAAGGTTGTAATGGATTGGGGTTACGGTGGGGCAAGCGACAGTGGTGGTTGTGGCGACAATGGTGGTGGTGGTACGCTGTGGATGTAGTGTGGTGTGATGCAGTCGGTCGTTGTGTTTTGGTGGTCGTTTTGTTGTTTGGTGTTTTTCGTGGTGGTGATCATGGCGATTTTCCATCGAACTGGGTATTTGTTAATGTGTGTGGTGGTTCCTAGTGGCGGAGGTGGTGGTTGTTGTTGATTGTGGTTGCCTTGATTTTTGTTTTTGTTGGTGTTGGTGTTGGCATCGATAATGGGGTGAGGGTGGTTGCAAGTGCCCGTGACGTTAATGATGGTGTGATAGTGGTGGTGGTGGTAGCCTGTGACCACTATTTGACGAGTGTGACCAACTATTTAGTTATTTGTGACCATGTAACCTGGGCAATGGTAACGAGGTGAGAGTGGTCGCAAGTGGCCGTGATGGCAGTGGCAGTGCGATAGTGTTAGTGGCGGTGGTCTGTGACCGCTATTTGACTTATGTGACCATCTGTGACCAAATATTTAACTGTCATCAACAAATTTGAAAATATGTGACCTATAAATTTTTAGATTTGTGACCATCAAATAAATTGTGACATATAAATTTTTAAATCTGTGACCATCGAAATAATCTGTGACTAATTAATTTAATGATATGTAACTAATAAATAAATTGTGACCTAAAATTTTGTATCTATGACTATTAGTTCTATAATTGAAACCTTATTACATTTAATTACTAAAATATTTTTAATTAACAAATAAATAAATACCTGACTTTTGCACTTTTAAACTTAGGACTTGAAAATTGAATTGGTGTAACCAATACACTTAAGTTATGAATTTTTCCCTTATAAAAGAGGTATAAGGCTCATTTGATGACAAAAGGTTATACTCAACAGGTGGGTATGAATTGTGAAGAAACTTTTTCACGAATTGCGAGATTTACTTCTATTTTTCCTGAACTAAATATATGAAGAGATTAACAATATAAAAAAATGTGACTCACTATTCTGAAATGCTGATATAGTATGTGTAATAAGGATTAAATTAACTGAGTGCCAACTCTTAGCCATGGTGGCACATTTAAATTTAAAATTATATCAAATGGACCTAAAGCCTGCTTTTATATATGAAGAGTAGAATGATGAAATCCATATACAACAACCAATTGGTTTCATTGTAACAAAGTTGTAATCTCGTACTACTTCATCACGCTGGACGAAAATCGTCGTATTTATCTAAATATGTACAATGAAAAAATTGTAATTTATCTCTTTACGTAGATTACATCTTTTGATTAGAAACCATAGTTGTTAAATTCGGATCGATCGGTCCGGATTGAAAATCGTCGAACCGAATCTCGGTCCGATCCGGGGTGATGGAACCGAATTTGGTTCAATGTGTGAACTGGATGATTATTAAATTGAAGTAAAATTTTACATTAAATTTTCTAGAACGAAGGAGATATTTTATGTCCATGACCATTATGGCAACTAATGACCCTTGATCATTTAATGTGAGCAATATATATATTAGATTTCGGAAAATTATTTCCTTTTTATTTCAAAAATATAATATAATTAAAATTAAAGTCTAATAATAACTCACCGATTGAACAGTTGACCTGTCGGTTGA